CTGAAATAGCCTGCTGTTGGGGGCTTCAGTACATAGATCGACTGACAAATAGCCTGACTTGCAGTGGAGTGCTGCTACATCGACTGAGGGTTTGGGATGGGGAAGCAATCGTTTCATTCATCATTCTTGTGTGTGTGTGTGTGTATTATATATATATATATATATATATATATATATATATATATATATATATATATATATATATATATATATATATGTTTCAAAAGTGGGTATAAGAATATAAATTATATTACAAAATATATTACAAAAGCTGTGTATGTGAATAATTTATTGGTTAGCCTAGAGGTGTACGAAATAGGGTTGCGTAGTTAATGTTAGTGGTTAGTTATGTTTGTAGCGAGCTTTGTAGTTTTTTAATAAAAACTTGTTTTCGTGGCGGCACTTTGAAATGATTTATGCACCCACGTATATATATATATATATATATATATATATATATATATATATATATATATATATATATATATATATATATATATATATATATATATATATATATATATATATATAAGTAAAAACATCTAGTTTTATTATTCAACAACGTGTTTCTCCATCAGTAGGCTCATGAGGAAGGTTTATCAGTAGGTTCAATAGTTGATCAGGCTTCCTGATAAACCTACTGATGGAAAAACAAGCTCTCAAAGATAAAAATTAGATAAATGTTTTTACTAATTTATTATTGCTCTGTTTTTTAAGAACGTTGAGCACAACAACAGTAATATAATAAAAACAGTAATATAAAAAAAAATTATGATAATATTAATAACAGTAAGAATAATAATATTTATAATGATAAAAATATAGTAATAATAATATTAACAATTATAGTGATAAAGAGAAAATACTTCAGTTTAAGAAAGATTAAAATAGTAAATAACTGGTTGTTTATACTTTATAATATTCACTATTTTTTAGAAAAATATTGCTTTTAAATTATATATAAAAATATTAAAACACAACAGTGTTGTATTTTAACTTTTTTTTTTTTGTTAATTTAAATAAATTTAGCAAAAAATATTAAATCACAGCAGAAAAGAAAAAAATTAGATAAATAGAAGGTCAGAATTAGGGTTATAAATAATAAGTTGAATGAAAGTATAAAATTTATAAGCAATGTTTTTCTAAAAAGTAGTTAACGAGAGCAGTTTTAAATTTTGAAAATGGCTTACATTTCTTACAAGACAAATTCAGTATTAAATTTTTAACAAAGAAATCGCTTGAAATTAAAATTTACCAGGAAATGTGCACTTAATTAAAATGAAAGAATTTGTATTAAGTTTTCAACTCAAGGTAAGTACTTTGAAAAGTTCTAAACCATATGTTTCTACAACTAAATATTCATCTCTCTGGATCTTCAACAAAAATTTGCGTAGGTTGCTCCTCCGGAACATTTATCGACTTTAAATGTTTTGGCTGTAGAAATTTATCGACGGTTATTTTGAAAAAAAACATTGAAACAAATCATTTATGCCGATAAAATTTACAGCCGGTAGCATTTTACGCCAATAAAAAGTTTTATAACATTGACCCCGGGTTGGCAAAAAAAATTTGATTCAAAGGTCTTACCATAAAACATAGAAACAAAGTCGGCAATATTTTGCTGACCTCAAACACTTTTAGGTTGGCATTGCCGAATGCTGACCCTAATTCTAAGGGTTGATTTTACAAAAATTGATGCATAAAAAGCTGGTGTTTAAAACATTTATTTACGGAAATCAGTCAAAAATTAATTTAACAGTTTAATTTAAACATTATTATTTCTTTTTTAATTCTGATTCACTCCTAACAAGGCTGCAAGCAACCTTCATTTTTTTAGGATTAGCTCTTCTAATCTTTCTTGACCATATATCAAATCCGTTGCAAAATTAGCATCTGCTAAGGTTGCATCTCTTTAGCAAGTTCAGTTTCCATGAAAGGTCAGTAGTAAATAATAATCCAAGAAGATGTAAAGAAGAGGACTCAGTTAGACCATTGCAATTCATTAATATAGGAATGTTGACAGTACTGCGATAATTGTTTGCAGTAAATAACTGAGTTTTGTTGGAGTTAAAGTTCACAAGCCTTTGTGAGCCCCAATCTGTTATAGAAGTGAGATCAGATTCAATCAGCTGCCTGTTCTAAGCAAGCAAAAAAAGATTGCTTGTAAATAAAGAATAAAAAGGTTAGAAAGAAACGATTTGATAATCTCAAAAACTTACTCAAATACACCATGTGAAACAAGCTTATGGGGAAAACCAACATGCCAAACTTTGTCGAAAGCCTTAGATATGTCAAGAGCAATAGCCCTAGCCTCTCCGCCTCCATCTAATGCACAATAAAATCTTTCAATCACAGCAGTTAGTAAGTCAGCCGTAGAGCGAGAAGATCGAAAACCGTATTGATTGTCTGACAGCTAGTTATTTGACTCAAGATAAGATGTGAGAAATTTGTTTATCAAAGACTCAAAGGCCCTGCTAATGACAAAAAGAAGATTGATTGGGCGTTAATTGGTCAGAATTTGCACTAGTGTTTTTGAAAATTAGAACAACAGATGCCATTTTCTAGCAGGCAGGAAAGCAAGGCTCAGTCAAGCACTTATTAAATAGTTTAGTAAGAATTAAAAAGAACAATTTTGTATGACTATGACAAGAGTGTTGTCTGGACCAAAAGCCATAAAAGAGTTTAATCGAGATATGACTTTAGCAACGGAAGCTGGAATGATTTAAATGTCTAACAATGGGTTAAACTGTTTAATTGGAATGGAATGAAGAGAATGGCCATAAGATTCGAGAATTGAATTAGAAGAAAAGTTCTTTGCGAATAGTTTTGCCTTATCCTTGGGAGCGGTAATAAGATCAGTCACATGAATGAGAAAAGGAATGTTAAACCTTCCTTTGTAAATGACGCTGTTGACAATTTTCCAAAAGTTTCTAGAGCCTAACTTCTGAGATAAGGTACAGGATTTAGTAAACTAAGAAAATGAAGCTTAGCATCTGACAGCACCATTTTACATCGATTTTTTGCAATAATAAATAGCTGTTTGTTCTCAATAGAGTTGTTCTTTTGAAAAAGATAAAAAAAAGATTATGATTAGATATAATTTCTTGTGAAACAAAGTCCGACTCTTTGTGAAATTTTTTCAAATGTGTATGTCTCCCCTTATAGAAATTACTTCTTGTAAGAAAAAATCTTTCTCTTTAGACATAAGGGCTCAATATAACAGTCGGTGATCAGGCACAAAAGGGTGAAAAATGTGGGGTAGAATGAGACTTGACTTGGAACTGACGTGAAGGAATAAAAGCTTCATTTCCTGTCTGAATCCAGGAGGCTGTGTAGGAGGCGCATTTTACAGCTGAGAGAGAAAAGACATCAGCCCAAAGACTGTTATGAAGAAAATCTTGAAAAGAATATTTACACTACTACACTACCAAAAGCAAGTTAGGATCAGCTGGTATCAGGATTATCAGGATTTATCACATTTATCAGCTGAGAGAGAAAAAACATTAGGCTAAAGACCGTCACAAAGAAAATCATGAAAAAAACTCTAGTCAGCTTTAGGGTAGTAGTAAGTAGTGCGATAATAGGGTGAATCCAAAAAGGATTCACCCTATTATATTAAGATGAAAGGTTCAAAGATATCGTTGCATGGTCAGAACCACCTAAAGGAGAAAAAATAAAAAAACTGAACACAAGCTGGGATCAGAGACCAGACATAAATCAAGGAGTGAAGATGAATGATTAGGATGGTCAGGAAAATGAGTTACAAAGTTAACTATTTGAATAAGAGATTGAGAAATGCAGAAGTTAGAGGCTTTAGTGCCAACAGGTTCAGTGGCGTTGGAGCCAAGCCATTCAGTGTGATGAGCATTAAAGTCACCAATAACAACAATATTGGCAAAGAGGTAAAGAGAGAGGTCATGGTCAATTTGATAAGAAATTACATCTCAAAGAGTCTTGGAACAAACAGAAGTCTTGGAACAAACAGAAGTGGAGAGGAGCTAAGCGGAAGCACATAAAAGAATAGTTGAAAAATTTGAACCTAATTTTGTGACAAAAAGGTGAATTGATGCGTATATATATCCTCAAGCCAAGCATGTGACTATTGGAGTCTTTGCGAATCAAAGGATTGTACCTATCATCACTAAGATCAGAAGAAAGAATAGCAGAATTTAAATTAGCCTCACTAAGAGTAAGCAAGTCTGGTGAATTTTGGAAGAGGTAAGATTCAACTAATGGAAGGTTGCTTAGCAGACCACGAATACTAGTAAAAGATATATTAAAACAGTTAGGTTAATTGGATAGCAATAAGCTATGCAATTGTCTCAATCCTGTTAATTAACTCTAATTTGTAACATAGGGCTCTTTATGTGGCCTCAACAATGCGCACCAAAAGCATTAACAGGGACAACATCCTTGCGCAACATGGCACTGTTAATTCTCTGGTATTTTGCAGCTGTTGATGGAATCAGCCTCTCTGAGAGCTACCACAGAGTTCGGGACACCTTACTACCAGCCAGCATCAGAACCATTGTTTGGTTGAATAATTGACATGTTTACAAGCTAATGTTAATTTTATTTCAAAATGTTGTTAAAAACCTATTGTATAAAATGTATAAAAGACTATTTCCTTATCTTCGGTAGCAAATTCTGATTCAAAAGGCGTGTATGAGAAAATGAGAAATAAAGAAAATATAATTCTTATTTTTTTATTATAGATTATGTCTTTTACTTAATTTCATACAAAAATTCCTGAAAAGTATTGTGTCATGATTATCTAAAGGTGTCAATCTTTATAAGAATTAGTTACTTGTTTAATTTGCTAGCTAATTGTTATATTTAAAATGAATGATAACCTAATGCAAATAAAATTGATGATAAATTAGTCTGATAAACTTCTACAGCAATTGAAAATTTTGGCATTATACAATTGATCTCTGATCAATGTTCTAACAATATCTTTTGCTTATTTTTTGAGATTGATAGTTCTAAAAAATTTTTTTAAAAAATTAAATTTTGAAAATTCTTACGAAAATAAAGTAAAATGATTTTTAGGTGAGGAAAAAAAATTTGTTTCAATTTTCTCATCACAAGGAAAGCTTGCGCTTTCTCAAAAGTAAGTTTTTCATAAATTTTGTCTTTGTATTAAAAGTTGCTTGTAATGTGAAAATGCTGTTTATATATATATATATATATATATATATATATATATATATATATATATATATATATATATATATATATATATATATATATATATATATATATATATATATATATATATATATATATGTATATATATATATGTATATATATATATATATATATATATATATATATATATATAGTATATATATATATGTATATATATATATATATATATATATATATATATATATATATATATATATATATATATATATATATGCATATATATATATATGCATATACATTTTTAGGAGAATGCTCATTAAATTAAGTTAAAGCAGAGCTGTATTTATATATTTTTTATAAAACTACATATTTTTTGCAACTATAAGTTTCATGCTACATGCAATCATCAGGTAAAAAATGTGATTTTTTATTTTGGGAAAAAAATTTTGTATAAGAGAAAAAAAAGCGTTAGGAAAATCTTATGGTTTGTGGTTATCCAGCAAAAACTTGTTCTGATGGCAACATTTATATTTATATATAAATTGTTATCCAAATTATATAATAATAAGTGGTTCCTTTTTTTTTGTATAAGCATAATAGTTTTAGTTGTGACGTGGCGTGACGTGACGTGGGTGCTTTTTATGATAGACCATGTTAAAATGAGTGTTGTTTTTAACCTATCCTTTGTATCTTAATAGTTTTTGAATGCAGGGTTCTGATTTAAAGGTTTTTGTTTTTGAACAATTGCTTGTGGTTCGCATATCAAAGTTTCCATACACCCTTTGTTGATTTTTTATTTTTATTTTTTACTATCTTTTTATTATTCATTGAGCTCTCTCCTAAAGATATATGCAAGCAAAAATACATATATTTACATATATATATATATATATATATATATATATATATATATATATATATATATATATATATATATATATATATATGCACACACAAGAGTTCATGTCTACTGCCATATTTTTTTATTTTTAGATCTTTTTCAAACAATGACCTGATGAGTCTTCAAAAAAATGTTGAGACTGCAAGTTTACGTAGTCTTCCTGATGATTCATCGTTCTCTGCTTTTAAAGTAGAAAAATCTGTTAGTGAGCAAGATTTAACTACAAAGCATGAAGAGATAGTTTTCCAGCTTGATGATCATAGCAGTATGGATTGTAAGCTTTAAACTTAAAAGCTAAAGATTGTTTATAATATTTGAGTTTTTTTATTTTTAAAATTTTTTTTTAAGCCATTGAGTCAAAGAATTTCTCAACGTATGACAGAGTTGCTACTTTAACAGACCAAAGGACTAGTGATGGACAGCCACCATTATTCGCTAGAAAATCTTTTTCAAATATTAACAAAGATTCTTTGGTTTCTATTGATAAATCAACTTCAAATAAGTTAGAAAATAGTAATACCAACTTAAATAATACTTTAACTTCAGAAACTTTGTTTTCTGATGAGTTTAATATTGGAACATCTATGGTTGGGAATTTAGCTACTAATATAAATTCAACAGAAGATTTTGCAAACTTTGATATTTTGAAACCTACAAATGAAAAGCGTCCACCTACAAATCTTCCTTTACCTGTGTTTAAACCAAGACCGAAATCTAACCAAGTATATAAGTTTGTATTATAAAAAAAATGTATACTTGTATTTTTTCCACAACAAAAGAAACAGTCTTTGATAGTTTTTTTTTTCTTTAGCCAAGTTCAATATCTTCTGCTGTTCCTCGTCAACATAGCTCTCTAATTACAAACAATTCTTCAGTTAACAATTCTTCAGTAGTGCAACCTGTTAACAATTCTTCAGTTCAACCTGTTAGCTCTTTATCAGATTTACTTGATATAAATTTTTCGCCTACTCATCATTCTGCTACTCATCATTCTGCACCAGGTTTTTGTTTTATTATCTACTTTAAAAAGAATTAAAAAGAAAAAAAGACTTTTAAAAATATTTTTTTTTTGTATTAGAGAAAACGACATCACAATGGATTAATCTTGAATCTCCAACAAGTAATACAGTTTCTGTTTTTACAAAAAATAATGAGTTATCACCTAACATATCAGCGTCTTTTACAGCAAAGTCAAATTTTGCATCACCAAAAAATGAATCCAATTCCAATGTAAGTTCATCCAACAACATCTTTAATTCTTCTTCTACCAATATATGTTCTCCCAACAGCAACTTTAGTTCTTCTATTACTGATCTTGTACAGCCTAAAGTTGCACACAACATTGCATCTCGATCTCATAGTGTGCCAGATATAGATAAAGGAATACCTATAGCTGTAGCTTTTATAGAAACAGTAAATGGTTTGTTCAAAGGTTCAAATATTGCTAG